AGCGGGCGGGTCAGGAGAGGTCTGCCACGCCATGTGGTCACCTCCGGGGCAGGCGGGAATCGAACCCATGCGGAAGCGGCCCTAGACTCTCAGTGCTATGCTTTCACCCGCTGCGCCACCAGGGAGGGCCAATTTTTTATTATTTTTTTAAAGTTTATTTTTACATGACTTTGTACATTTTTTTTTCCCATCTCAATTGTAATCCCCGTGGTCTTGTGATGTCTTAATCTGGTTTTGGTATCAGGGTAACACCAACCTCATGGAATGAGCATTTCTTTGTCTTCTGGTTTTCTGAAAGAATTTGTAAAGAATTGGCTTTAATTCTTTTCAAAGTGTCTGATAGACTTCACCAGTGAATCTCTTTGGGCCTGGGTTTTTCTTCATGCAAGTGTTTGGTTATAAATTCAAGCTCTTGTCTGCATTAGTTTGCTAGAGTTGCCATATCAAAATACCACTCACTGGGTGGCTTAACCAACAGAAATAAATTTTGTCACAGATCCAGAGGTGAGAGGTTCATTTGTGGTAGGGCTGTTTTCCTGGAGGGTGTAAAGGGAATGATTCTTTCTCTATTCCAGACAAGATTTCACCCACAAAATGCCAAGCACCATGCCTCTCTCTGTTTTATTTTTTTAAAGATTTATTTACTTATACATACAGAATTGGGGTACAGGCCAGAGGTGTGGTGGGTGAGAGGATTCACCAGAGATAGAGTGGGGAGCAGAACAGGCAGATTAACAAAGTACACTGCTGAGAGTGCAGTGGGTGGGTCCTCGCCATGTGGGTCACCTCTGGGGCAGGCGGGTATAGAACTCATGCTGAAGTGGCTTTAGCTTCTTAGTGCTGTGCTTTAACCCACTGTGCCACTAGGGAGGGCCCAGCACCATGTCTCTTACAGATAAGACTGCTTTTTTGTCAATTAAGCTTTATACTGCTTGCGTCTGCCTGCCCTAGAGATAAGATTTTTTGAGATAATAAATCATATAATTGTTCCAATGCACAGTGAGCCTCTACTTCCTTAGACTTTCTCCCCAAATTATTTGACCAAAGCTCAACTCGTATAGTAGTTTTCTTCTAACACCCTCTTAGTGAGGTACCCCACCCCACAGTTCCACATGGAGTCCATCTTTCTTGCTCTAATGAGCCATCAACAACACTTACTTGATTTCATGTGTGTTCCTGGTGGTTTTAGGCTGAAGGCAAGGATACAGTGGGAATTTGCCCTCCAACTCCTTCTCTTTCCTATCTCAGCTTAACTTTCATCCCAGCCCAGCCCATGGCTCCTCTAGAACCCTTTGCCGACGGTCCTTGTACCTGGTGTGTACCCCTAGTGAGGCATTTCTTCTCAGGTCATCCAATTCAGTGGCGTCTGGTGCCTTGAGGGCGGGGTGGCCTCACTTGTGCCCCTTTGCTCTGCCCCCCCAACCCAGGAATGGAATGTTTATCTCCCTTTATTGCAGACATCATGGATGTGTTGGCCTCTCCTCCTTCACTTGTTTTTTAGGGTGTGGGGGAGAGAGACAAGCAAGGAAGGAAGGAGAAAGCCCCTGTCCCTTCCACCATGCCCCGACCTGTTTGTACAGGAGGGGGTTAGTGGAATCAGAAGGGTTGTTTGTGGTGGGGACCACTCTGTACCAATTCTTGGTGGCTTTTTTCCCCTCCACAGTTCAAAAGGAAAAGGAGAAAGAAAGAGGTACCTGTGTGGTCATAGGTGGGCAGGAGAGCTACCGCTTGCTGAATTTTTGTTAGAACAGGGACACACAGCACTTGTAATTTTGGGTTGTGGGTCCTAGTGTCATTTCCAGGCAAGGGAAAGCTTCTGTTCAACAGCCTGGTATGGTAATTGTCATCCTTTTCATCATGTCATGCTTCTTTCCTTCTCCTTCATCGTCAGCAGTAAGTACATTTTCAGCTAGTGGGTGGGGTTAGGCTGACTGCTGTAGTCCAGGTAAAAAGTACATGAAAAGAAATGAAGCCAGCCAAAGTCTTTTTGACATGGTCCAGCAACCTAAAAACAAACAAACAAACAAACAAACAAACAAACAAACAAACAAACAAAAACAACCCAGCATGGCTGCAGCAAGTATGTAAGGGGAGAAATGGATGTGAAGTGAGGGCAGATGCCAGATGACCAAGGGCCCTACACGCCAGGCCTGGGATTACGATGGGATGTTTTGGGTGGCAGTAAGCTGTTGACAGATGCAGGGGAAGGGCAAAATCAGGTTTGCAAAGTTGGAAGGGTAAGACAGAGCGGGAAATGACTGAATAGGGATGGAAA